CTTTGTCAAAATGAACCCAACTACCATGTATAATATTCTAATTAAAAAAATAAAGATAGTATACTAAGAATCCACAAATAACAGCATTTCATTAAAACTTACTTTCAAAACTTACCAGAGTTTTGCTGGATCCCCCACCGTACTCTCATCTTGAATTGCCGAGTACTAGTTTGCTGGAGTCGTCTATTCAGTCTTGGAAAATTCTGCTTCTTTCCTTCCTTTCGATTCAACTTGATAATATCATCTATAACAGAGGAAATGCCAAAATTATTTTCATTTTAATTACTGACTAAATTACTCAGTCTCATTTTTTAGTTAATAGATTTCCTATGTCCCTAACTTCTACTTTGAAAGCATTGCCATTAAGAGGTTAATAATGGGCTGGGGTTGTGGCTCAGTGGTAGAGTGCTTGCCTAGCATGTGTGAGGCACTGGGTTCAATCCTCAGCATAAAAATAAATAAAAATAAAAGTATTAAAATTTTTAAATAAATAAATTAAATAAAGGTATTGTGTCTATCTACCAAAAAAAAAGACATTACTAATAATAAGATAAAGCCCAAATCAGCCATTTTGCTTGGTGTTCTGCAGGAAGTTTTTGTAGGAAAAGTTCAAATAAATAGCCCAAACAGATCTACTAACAAATGAAGAGTTCTACTGTCCATAGCACTTCTTTCCCTAATGAATATAAATAAGTAAAAAGTCATTTACAAAAATTATTCATATTGTGCTTACTTTCCATAATCACAGAACTCTCCATTTTTAAAAGATGACCACCTTTTATTAAAACCATAGGTGAGGGCTGGGGCTGTAGTTCAGTGGCAGAGCGCTTGCCTTGCATGTGCGAGGCACTGTGTTCGATCCTCAGTACCATATAAAAATAAACAAATAAAATAAAGGCATGCTGTCTATCGACAACTACAAAATAATTTTTAAAGAAAACCATAAGTAGTCAAAAAATAAGTAAATTGCCGACCAAAATTTCTAAATTAATCTCAACAAATATTTATTGAGTATGTACTTTGCACAATGACTGTATATGTAAGGCTGTGCTGTAATAGAAGCAACAAAAGTATAATGCAGTCCCTGTTCTCAAGTATCTTTAATTGATGAATCAGATGTTCAAATAACAAATACAAAATTGAACACAAGTACCATGATAAAGGTGTAATATTTTAAAAATTGCTAATGGTTACATCCTCTAGCAAAGTCATTCAGGGTTACTTTTATTTTATTTTTTTCTATATTGACTTCTGTAATTTCTGCAAGCCTTATTATTTACAAAAAACACTTTCAAACAACTCCAGGATAATTCATAAACATCACATTTTACTAACACCACAAGAGAACAATATGAAGATTGGAACACTAAATGTACTCCAGATTCCTATTTATATCTGTTAAAGATTACTAAAAGTCAACAATCCTTATTTAAGAAATATCCAAACACTTTCTCTACAGTCCTAACGCCAATATTAATTTTAATGATTGATAAAGCAAATAAACCAAAGATTATGTTGTACATGATCAACAACTTCAAAATAAAACTTAACAATGATTAACTTCAATTCTCTTTTCCAAATTGTTTAAAGTACAAATAATCTATGTGACTAGAATCAGTGTTTTCTAAGTTAAAAGGAAATATTATAGATTTTAAGGATCAATGCTAATGGCTCTACTTCACCCACCTGTAATCTATAAGACTCCTACTCACATTCAAATACTATTCATATAAAATACTTCAAATCTCCCCCAAAGTATGTTGTTGTCTTCTTGAGATCAATCTCGAAGCACAAAGGCATTTGTGAGGGGCTGGGGCTATAGCTCAGTGGTAAAGCGTTTGCCTAGCATGTATGAGGAGGCACTGGGTTCCATCCTCAACACCACATAAAAATAAATAAATAAAATACAGGTATTGTGTTCATCTACAACTGGAAAAAAAAAAAAAAAAAAGTCAGCCAGGTGTGGTGGTGCCTGCCTGTAGTCCTAAAAGCTCAGGAGGCTGAGGCAGGAGGATTGAAAGTTCAAAGCCAGCCTTAGCAACTCATCAAGGCCTTAAGTAACTAGGCGAGATCCTATATATATATATATATATATATATATATATATATATATATATATATATATATATATATATATATAAAATACAACAAAAGGGCTGGGAATATGGCTCAGTGGTTAAATTCCCCTAGGCCCAATCCCTGGAAGGAAGGAAGGAAGGAAGGAAGGAAGGAAGGAAGGAAGGAAGGAAGGAAGATTTGTCAAAGGTAAAGACACCAGGGCTGAGTGTGTTGTTCAAGGGTGCACAGGCTCAGCATGTGAAAGGCTGCAAGGGCCCAGGTTTGATCCCCAGCACCACCAAAAAGAAAAAAAAAAAAAAGTTAAAAGTTAAAGACAATAAGTTTGGGGTTGTGGCTCAGCAGTAAAATATCTGTCATTCCTGAGGCCCTGGGTTCAATCTCCAGCAAGTAAAGGAGGGAAAAAAAGATACTAAAATCCATTTTTTTTAACAAGATAAGGTTTCATATCAAATATATGAACATGTTAAATTCTCAAGAAGCAGAAAGAAAATACTTAGAAGACACTACTTTTGAAACACTACTTTCCTTTAACAAGTTGCTACTTACTCTTGACAAAGTCTATACAATCTCAGAGCCTTGAGAATATATTCAAAATACGAATTTGGCTAGGCACCATGGTGTACACCTGGTATCCCAGCAACTGGGGGGACTGAGGCAGGAGTATTGCAAGTTCAAGGCAAGTTTGGGCAACACAGCAAGACCCAGTCTCAAAAAAAGAGAAGAGACTGAGCTCTATTTTAACTCTCCACAGTGAAGATAATTATCCCTCCATTCACTTGAATATCATAATCACCAAACAAAATACATACAAAAAACCAAAAATTGCAAGCTTAAGAAATGTTAGTTATGAGAAGACATATTTAACGTTTCCCTACACTCTGGAGCTTGAAGGTCTAGAAGAAAACTGAAATCCTGGTTCTGCCACTTATGGGCTTGACTATATAACTTTGAGCAAGTTACTTAATTTCTCCATGCTTCAGATTTATGTAAAATGTGAATAACAACAATGACTTATATGTAGTGTAAAAATAAAATACAGTGCTTATTATGTACCAGGAACTGTTCTAAGTAGTTTGTACATGCATATTGACTCATTTAATACTTACAACAAACCTATAAGGTAGATAAACTGTTACTATCACCTTTTAACTGAAGAGACACTGACAAGTTATTTCCCTATAATCGCATGGCTGGTAAGTGGCAGAAAAAGCAGGATCCCCACCTGAGACAGTGTGTCTCTGGATTCCATGCTGTTTATCACTAGGAGTGTAATCCTCATGGATTTATTATGTAGATAAACCAAGGCAACATATAAAATGCCTAGTCCAGTGCCTAGCAGATATTATTAAACACTCAATAAATATTGTTATACACTTTCTTAGCTTTAGGTCAAAAGATTCATTTCTTTTGAGCTTTCTACTGACAAAACAGTAAGACAAAACTTGAAGGCAAGCATACTAGTTCTGTTAACTTAGTTAATTCCCACACTGGGTTCTGACCTGTGGCAATCCTAGAAAACAAGAGTTCTTGACTTCTGACCAAGAACTTTCCAGATAAACCAAAACAAAAAAGAAACAAACAAATGGAAAGAATTGGCAACTAAAAGAATATTTTTAGGCCGAACACTATCCTAAATATCGTCCTTAGAAAGCTTACACCTCTAAATCCACTAGTCAGGCATTTACTTTTCAAATCTCTGAAATACTGCAGGAAAGAGAGCAGGCAGATCTGATTACATCTAATACCATAACTTGAATCCCGACAAAAATGTAATCACTTTTGGACCATCTAAGTTGGTGCCTCGGTAGTGTTAGATGTAAATTTTTAACGGAATCACCAACCTTGCTTTTTATGTAATAGTACCAAACCAGGCCACCCTTCTTATATGTGCGGGACCCTCCCGCCCCTTTCCCCCACCCCGTGCTCTACCTGGCTTTTAGCGATCCACGTAAATCCCTCGGTTTTTATTACTTCCTTTTTCTAATTAGCTAATAACTTTGGGGCCAGGATAGGGAGAATGTGCTTTTCTAGACACACCTAATAACACACATCTGATGCGCTCCTTGCCTAACGATAATTCTGACAGAGCTCCTGGGCCCAGGGGCGCCCGTCAGCAGCCAGTAGGCCTGAGCGGCTATGCCCAACAAGCCCTGGCAGGGAACCACTCTTCTAAACCCATCACAGACCCAGCTGGGTCTTAGGAAACCACAGCTCCCCCAGTTCCCACTCCCGATAACGCCCCCGGGGAACACGCTCGAGGGAAACCCGCGGAGTTTCCCTGACAAAGAGCGGGGTAAGCGGCCAGTGGTGGCGTCCCTCTGGGGGACACGAGGGTACACGCACCCCTGGACCCTCCAAATCTCCGGCCCGCAGCGTCCCCGTCCCCACAGGCCCTCGTCAGAGAGAGCCTCCACTGAGGGGACGCCGGAATCCCTAAGGCTGGACTCTGGCACCCGGCGTTTAGCTCCAGGTGCCCCTCTGGACCCCCAGCTCGGTTCCGCCCACCCGCAAGAAAACTCGATCGGCAAACGCGGCCAACTGCCCCCTTCCCCCACAGACCGCGCCACTTGGTTCCACCCACACCTCCCCCCTCTCCTACTCGGTCCAACTCGGCCCCTCACCCAAAGACATATCTATTTTGTCGAGGTTTTCATTGCTGCGGGCTTTCGGCGGCGGCGACGGGGTCGCGGTGGCTCCCACCAACCGGGTACCAAACCGGTTCATGGCTGGAGACGTCGCGCTGGAACAGTCAGCCGGGAAGGCCAGAGTCAGAGGCCTGCCACCTCCCACTCACGCACGCAGTCTAGCTGCACCGAGGGAGCGCGCACGCGCGCTGGCGGCGTCCTTGCCCTCCTACCCGCGGCAGCGGGCGGGGGAAGGGGCTATCGAGACTAGCTGTTGGCAAGAGCGGCTCACGCCAGCGCTAGCTCCTAGCGGCCCTTGCCGGTCGGGGCGAAGCACAGGAGCTTTTACCTTGTGCGCTGGCCAGACCGGGGCTTTAACAGTTCGTCCTTCGGCCCCAGTAGGGGGCTGTTAGGGGATGCTAGACCCTGAGCACCTCAAAAATCACATGTTTTAAATGATACCATGATATTCCGTGTCCATCGGTCCCTCCTGCGGAAAGACCCCCTGTGCTTCGGTACACGCGAACCTTGATTGCAGCCTGGGGAGGCGGAACACACAGACCCCTGCGAGCGTAGATTGCAGTACTGCGTCCCAGTTTTCCTCGCCCTGGCACGCTACTTCACCTGCAGCATGCGGAGTTGCCACGTCCGAACACAAAAACTGCAGTGACTCTTCTTGCGTCACCTTAACAATAAAAGTGAATGCTAACGTTACCTTATCTCCACCACCTCTCAATCAGTACTCTCAAAGTATTTGGCACGGTATTACCTTAATAACACCTCTTCTTCCCTTGGGAGGGTAAGTATCTCTGCTTATTTAACTGCGTTTTTCTCTCATTTGCGCTGGGAATTGGTAGGATTCGGGTTTGTTTGGGGTTTTTTTTTTCTTCTAATTATTCCTATAGGAAAACTTATTAATATTTGATGAATTCCTGCTTAATAACTTTCCCCCTGTTTACAAAATGTGTTATCCCCCTTTCTTCCTACCTCATTTCTTCTTCTCCCTCAAAATGCTCATATGGAAGCACTTGGGTTATTTTGTCCTATAATTTGCATCTAAGGGGGGAAAAAAAAGGTAGCTATTCTGTCCACCAAGAAATCTCTCGGTAATCTTTCCAATTCCTAAAATTTCGTTAGCGTAGAACAAGGCAGAACTTTGTGATGACCTAAAGTATCTCAAAACCATAGTAGCCTATGCTTAATTTAGTAATGTCACAATGTCATGTGGTTTTCAACTTCAATAGCAATGACACAATTGGCTATTTTTTGCTTGGGGATTCCATGTCTTTAATTTCTTATTTTGCACATTGTTTTTGTTAATAACTTATTTCCCAATGTTTATTAACAACAACAACAACAACAAAATATCTGTGTCCTATCTTCCCTTTACATGTCTGAATTCAAAGCAAAAGGTTGCAGGTGATATTGTTTTTTATAATTAGGGTTACCTTAATCATAAAACTACATGTGAATGTTCTTTGTAACTGTAGCATGAATAAAACCAAGAGCCATTCCAGGAGGTATATATCTTAACTGTAAGCAAAGAAACATGATGTGTGTGTGTGTGTGTGTAAAAGCCTGGATAGTCTTGAAGAAATGTATGGTTTTTATTAAGCTTTTGGAAATTTATAAGTAACTCTTTATCCTCACAGGTCAAGTTGGCTTTCTTACCCCTGCCAAAAATATAACTATACAGGAAGAGTGAATCAGCCTAGGATACACCTGTGGAGGAGTACAAAAAATTTTAATGGTGAAGGAAGGTTTTAACTAAGAAAGACCCAAGAAAGGATGTAGATGTATCTCAGTGGTAGAGCACCTGCTTAACATATGTGAGGCCCCCAGGTTCGAAACCTAGTTCTGCAATAAAATAAAATAATAATAATTAATAATAATAATAAAATTCAGCTTGTCAAGGAAAATAGCATGGATTCTCTTGGCACAAGGTTTTTTGTTTGTTTTTTGCATAAGGGTCTTGATTTACTACTCTGTCTTATAACCTCCACCTTTCCCTGCTAATAACTAGGGAAAGTGGTTTGTAGAAGTAAAAGTCAGTGGAACACCTAGGTTTTTTTGAGTGATAACTTTTCCACTCATTTCAGTCATTAATCATGTGATCTTGGGAGCATTTCTGGACCTTATACTCATCTTCAAAACAAGAAAGTAGTAGTACTAATTATATAAATTATACTAAGTTATTTCTAGATTTCTTACAGTTCTAAAATCCCCTTCTCACAAGACATGTTTTACCACCTTAGCCCTCTCTCAATATAAATAACTTCTATGAGCTCTGTTCATTTGTAGGAGTAAACTACCTAAGGTTAAATTCCTAATTGTATCTAAGAAAATTAATGTACTTAGCATTTGGAAGCATTTTGTATTTATGTATTTATAAGACAGATAACGAAACCCCAAATACATAAAATCCTCCCTACCACTAATATAATATAGATTTCCTTTTATTTTAGTCTTCTGTTCAAAACTTGAGCCCTAACCCAAATCTTAACTCAAAAAAAGACATGCCTCAATATTTTCATTAAGCAGTTTTTGGCTGTTTCCCCTGGGGCTGAGGGTCTCAGAGTCTCAGAGCAACCTCCCCAGATTCCAAAGGGAAAAGCAAGAGAACAAGAGTGATGCATTGTGTGTAATAGTAGGTCTGGTTACACACAAAACAAAACAAAATAGCAACCTCTAAAACAACACAGCAAAATGAAGAAGGAGACAAGCCAAGAAATCAGAACTGGGCCTTGTACAAGAAGTCTATCAGCCAGCTAGAAGGGCTGGGGTTAAAGGGTCAACCCTGCAATTTTCTGAGGCATGAGAGTCAGCTATTCATTTAATCATATACTTATTGAGCACCAGGTATTGTAATACGCTCCAAGAATAGAATGGATGCAAGATGGATGTAGTCCCTATCTTCTCACAGCTTGCAGAGCAAAAAGTATTTTCTGAGCACCTACTATGAATAAAGCACTATGCTGGACACAAGCATATAGCTGTTCAATAACTTTAGCTAAATCAAAACAAACAATTCCAGCAGTCACCCTTTTTAGAGGCTTGATTTCATAGTATAGATAAGACAACATCTAGGATAGCAGGGAAAAATACAGGACCCATTAAATCTGGATTTCAGACATAAACAATGAACAACCGTTTAGTGTGTGTTCCGGGTTTTAGATAAACCACATTTTTTTTCACTAGACTGTTTTATGAATATTTAGGATACGTTTATACTAAATAATTATTCATTTTTTCTGAGATTCAAGTTTAACTGTGAGTCATTTTTATTCGCTATATCTGGCAACCTTAACAACATACCATACTTTCCTATTAACATTTTTCTGACTCTCTTTTTATAAGCACAACTTATATACTTCCTCCCTTAGATTTCTTTTTTCTTTTTCCAGGACTTCATACTTGCTAGGCAAGTACTCTACCACTGAGCTTCATTTTCAGCCCCTTAACCTTTTAAAGCTAGTTTGATATGCCTTTTAAATTTTCTTTTTATCAGTTTTATTGAGATGTTGATAGACAAAAAAAAGACATACCTAAGTTTTCAATATATATAGTATGCAGTGCATATACCTGTGAAAACACCACGATAATCAGAATAATAAATATATCCATCATTCCCAAAACGTTACTTGTGTCACTTTGTAATCCTTCCCCTTACCTACTGCCTGGGCCACCACCGATCTCTTTTCTGTCACTATAGGTTAATTTGCACTTTTTAGAATTTTAGAAGAATGGAATCATATAGAATGTACTTTCTAAAAACTGGATTATTTCACCTAGCATAATTGTTTCTAATTTGTATATTTTAAAATTTATTTTTCTTACCTTATTGCACTAACTAGAGACCTGATATTAACCATGTTTAATCATGGTCAAGTTAAAATGAATGTTTTTGCCTGGTTTCCAACCTCAGAGGGAAAGCATTCATTCACCCTTAAATATGATCGAATTTTTTTTTTTAAGATATCCTTTGTTAGGTTAAAGAAGTTCCCTTCTAGCTGGGCATAGTGGCCCATATCTCTTATCCCAGCAGCTCAGGAGGCTGAGGCAGGAGGATTGAGAGTTCAAAGCCAGCCTCCGCAAAAGTGAGGTGCTAAACTCAGTGTAACCCTGTTTGTAAATAAAATATAAAATAGGGCTGGGGGTGTAGCTCAGGGTTCAAGTGCCCCCGAGTTTAATCTCCAGTACAAAAAAAAAAAAGTTCCCTGTGTTGTTGGTTTGCTAAGAGTTTTCATAAATGAATATTGAATTTAATACTTTGTTGAATCTATTACAAAAATGAAATGGTTTTTCTTTTTAAATTTACTAATATAGTGAATTACATGGATTTTCAAATGTTACATTTCTGAGATAAATATTCTTGGTCATGGTGTATTATCATTTTTATATATTGTTACATTTAATTTGTTTTGTCCAGGAGTTTTGTCTTTTCAGTATGTAACTTCTTTTTCTTCTAATGTCTTTCTTATAATTTCTAGCTCAGTCCATAGAGTGCTCGCCTCACATGCACAAGGCCCCAGGTTCAAACCTCAGCACCACATACAGGAATTAATTCTTTTGCTTTTTATAAGAGGATTTTCTAGAATTCATTTGTTAATGTAATGTGTATTATACTGGTATAAGGGAATGGTAAAATTTGTATTTTATATGTGAAATAACAAAACACTAGTTAGTATACTAACCAATAAGCTACTTATATATAAATACAGTTTTTCTTCTCTTATATGCTCAATTCTTCCCATTCTCTTGCCTTTTTCAATGCTTTCTGCTATGATAGGTTTTTTGATTGTTATGTTTTTCTACCTTGTTATAGCTTTTTGTTCCTCTCCTATTTTGCTTATTTCTTTTGTTCTAACCTTTTGCTGTTCTAGGCTTTTGCTTTTTAATCTCAGTATTCATTTGTTTATTCATTCATTCAGCAAACAGTTTGAGTTCCTAGTATGTGCAAGATACTGCTAATTGCTGGGAATACAGTGAACCATGACAGCCAGGGTTTCAGGCAAAGCTGCTGCCTTTAAAAAATCTCAGGAGTTATTGAGGAGCCTGCCCACTCCAGGACTAGTACTGATCCCCATATCCCTGACTGTCAGTTTTTCTGTAACTTTGGGAAGCTGCTTTGGGTAGACAGGAGAACTTGAAGGGGAATTCTTCCTGGACTGAGAGGAGAGGAAGCTCTGTCCTATTAGGTCTTGCCTTCTCTGGGCAGGATAGGGGTCTTGACCACCAGGGGTTCTAGGTCCATTCACTAAATGGCCAACTGTAGAATTTTCTAAAACTAAACAAATTTTCGGCAGGAGGATCACAAGTTCAAAGCCAGTCTCAGCAATTTAATGAGGCTAAGCAATTCGGTGAGACCCTGTCTGTAATAAAATACAAAATAGGGCTAGGGATGTAGCTCAGTGGTCGAGTGCCCCTGAATTCAATCCCTGTACCCACCCCACCCCCCGCTGAAAAAAAAAAAACTAAACAAATTTTCATAAATCACACAGTTTCCCCCTATTTCGATAAAATTTATTTGTTTAAAAGGTATCCTTGGGGCTGGGAATATAGCTCAGTGGATAGAGTGCTTGCATCACATGCACAAGACCCCAGCTTCAGTCCTCAGCAACACACACACACACACACAAGATATCTTCAATTCATACTGGATTGATTAGTAGTCTAGGAAGGCTCAGTGGAACCAAAATTCTAGGGTCATGGGGCCTTTAGGCATTCCTGTTTTTCCTTATGCTTCTTCTCTTTGCTCCTCAGGTTCCCTGCCCAATCTGGTCTCTGAACTGACTGTGTTCTCTCTCCTAGAGGATCTCTCCTCTGGGTCCACAATCTAGCTAAAGCTGTAAGACAAATTGAACATTCCTCAGCTGTTAAGGTTTTGCTCAGTACATAATAAGTTTTTATTCATTTTCATTTTAAAATTAAAAATTCCAAATTTGTATGCACTGTCCAAGGCTGGCAATAAACTTTCCTGTATAAGTGCATAAACAAATCAATACTAAATGCTTAGATGGGGTGTAAATTTTATGTAAAGACAAAATAAAAACCAGGTAATTAAAACTTGGCAAAATTCTTTTTTCTCTTTCATTTTATTTTATTATTTTTTGCAGCACTGAGGATGAAACCCAAGGCCTTACTCAGACTGGGCAATTGCTCTACCACTGAGTTACACCCTCAGCCCTCAAAAGTTATTGAAATCATACAGTGTATATGACTAAAAGAAAAAGAATTTTGGTAAATCAGTATATTTGGTAAATTAAGTGAATTGGGTTTTGGCAAAATTGGCTAAGAAGACTAATAAAAATTACAAACTACAGGGAAAACAAATTAATTTTAAAATATTTTCAAACTTTAATCACCATAAGCTAAGAAATTTCCATGTGAAACACTAACATTTTGATTATATTGATCAGGATACAATCATAAGAAAATAAAACCAGGGGCTGGGGTTGTGGCTCAGTGGTAGAGCACTTGCCTAGCACATTCGAGGTCCTGAGTTCAATCCTCAGCACCAAATAAAAATAAATAAATAAAGGTACTGTGTCCAACTACAACTAAAAAATTTTTTAAAAATTAAAACCATACTGAGTTTCTTGCTTATTTTTTAAACATGTGAATCTACAGAAAAGTTGCAAAAATAATACAATGAATACTCATTTACTCTTCACTTAGATTTACAAATTATGAAAGCTTTGCCATATTTGCTTTGTCTACATATAGGTAGGTAGATAGACATGATTATTGTTACAGTTTACTTGGGAGGAGGTTACAGAAATCATAATTCTTTAAAATATATCTCTAAGGATATTCTTTAATATAAACATGCTCAAATTATCAAGTTCAGGAAATTTAACATTAATGTAATACTATTATACGATATATAGTCCATAACCAAGTTTTGTCAATACTGAAAAAGCCTTTATACAATTTTTATTCCAGTCTAGAATCTAATCCAGGTTCACATAGTACATTTCTTTGACCTGCCTCTCCTTTAATCTGAAAAAGTTTTAACATCTTTTATTAGTCCTTTTTGATATTTATTTATTTTAACCATGCTGGGGATTGAACGGGGCCTTACCCATGACAAGCAAGTGAACTATATCCCCAGTCCTCTTTTAAAACAAAAATTATTTTGAGACAGCATCTTCCTAAGAGTCCTAGGCTGGCCTGGGACTTACCATCCTCCTGCCTCAGCCTCTAGAGTAGCTGGGATTATAGGCCTGCATCATTCCACCCAGCTGATATTTACATTAAAAAAATTTTTTTAAATATTTATTTATTTTTTTTTTAGTTGTAATTGGACACAATACCTTTGCTTTATTTATTTATTTTTATGTGGTACTGAGGATCAAACCCAGGGCCTTGCATGTACTAGGCGAGCACTCTACCTCTGAGCCACAACCCCAGCCCTATATATGGGTGGGTGTGTGTGTGTGTATGTGTATGTATATACACCTTTATTTTATTTGTTTTTATTTTTATGTGGTGCCAGGGAACGAACCTAGTGCCTCAGGCATGCTAGGCAAGCGCTCTACCACTGAGCTACAACCCTGGCCCCCCCACATTTTTTTTAATATTTATTTTTTATTTGTAGTGGACACTGTAAGGTCCTTGCTTAGCATCTGCACAGCCATCTTAAGTGACAGCCACCATTTTAAGAAAAATTTTGCTTTCCCGCCCTACCGTGTTTCTGAGAAAGGCTCACCACTCCCTCATTATCAGTCCAACCCTTAACCTGCTTTAGGACCTGCTTAGCTTTAATCCCGGAGCCTGCCCCATAAAAGTCCCAAACCCTAAGCCTGTTTTACTTCTCTTGTCTATGGAGAGATATGCCTTTATTTGTCAGCTGTGACAAACTCTCCGCCTGGTCTCCATCTTCCATTTCTCGCTCGCCTGCCTCCTGGTTCCTTGCTTTCCTATCAATTATTTATTTTCTTTATTTATTTTTATGTGGTGCTGAGGATTGAACCCAGGGTCTTGCATGTGCTAGGCGAGCACTCTACCACCGAGCCACAACCTCAGCCCCAATATTTTTGAGACTTGAGTTATCAAGTTAGTTGTTGCATGGATTATCACTCCCTTTGAGTTTGTCTTCTTATTACTTTGAGGTTATTCATTTTTGTCAGGAATACTATGCAAGTCACATGCACTTTTCAGTGTCTAACATAAGAACACACACGATGTCATTTTGTCTTATTGGTGATCTTAATTTAGATCCTTTGGTTAAGATGATGCCTGGTAGGTTTCTCTATTGTAAAGGTATTTCCCCCATTTGTAATGAAGTCATTGTGGGGAGATATTTTGAGATTATGTAAATATACTGTTCAGAACAAATTTGTGTGTGTGTGTGTGTGCATGTGTGTGTGTGTTACTGGAGATTAAATCCAGAGCCTATTGTGTGCTACGAAAGCACTTTTCTACTGAAATATATCCCATGATAGTTGACTCTTGATTGAATCATAATAATTATAACTATGATGGTTGCAAAATAGTGATTTTTCTATCAATTCCTTTATATTTGTTAGTTGACATTCTATTGTGTAGGTTTCCCTCACCCCCTTCTTATTTCCTATTTTTTATTTTTATATACATATGTGTGTGTGTGTGTGTGTGTGTGTATTTGATTCTCAAGTTTTTTTTGACTTGGCAAGTGGAAGACATTGATTTAAAATTTGAATACTACAAAAAATGTTGCTAAAATAATTTTAGTGAATATATTAAAAGAGAACATACTCATGACTATATTGCTAGTTGTTTAATATATTGTTTATATATATTCAAGAATACTAATCTTTAAGAACAAATTTTGGCAAATAGGTAAAAATCCATTATTTGGGTGAGGGTTGTGGATTAGTGGTAAAGGGCTTGCTTAGCATGTATGAGGCCCTCGATTTGATTCTCAGCACTACATATAAATAAATAAAATAAAGGACCATTGACAACAACAACAAAAAACAATTTAAAAAATCCATTATTTGATTAACCAATCCTTGAGTGAAGTTGGCTTTCTTTTTTTGTGGGGAGTGGGGAACCAGGGATTGAACTCAGGGGCACTCAACCACTGAGCCACATTTCCAGCCCTATTTTGTATTTTATTTAGAGACAGGGTCTCACTGAGTTGTTTAGCGCCTTGCCATTGCTGAAGCTGGCTTTGAACTTGCAATCCTCCTGTCTCAGCCTCCCCAGCTGCTGGGATTATAGATGTGTGCCACCAGGCCCAGCTGAAATTGGTTTTCTGCCAGTGGTTCTGTAAGACCTACTGTTTGTATAAAAATAGCATTCTGATAAACTTGGAAACAAACAGATTGATCAGGATCAGATAAACTTCTTCAAGTTTGTGATTTAAAAAATACAAATTCAGGGATGGAGGTATAGTTCAATAGTAGAGTGTTTGCTTAGCATGTAAGAGGATCTATGCTCTATCTCTAGTCCTGCAAGAAACTAAAAATTTTTTAATTAAAAATCATTAAGTAGCTGAGGACTGGCTGCGCTGTGGTGTCCTGCCCCCGGGTGGCCTTCTAGCAGGATGGAGGCAACTTTGAAGCAGCACTTGGAGGATACAATGAAGAATCCGTCCATTGTTGGAGTCCTGTGCACAGATTCACAAGGACTTAATCTGGGCTGTCGTGGGACCCTGTCAGATGAACATGCTGGAGTTATATCTGTTCTAGCCCAACAAGCAACTAAGATAACCTCTGACCCCACTGATATTCCTGTGGTGTGCCAAGAATCAGATAATGGGAACATTATGATCCAAAAACGTGATGGCATCACCGTGACAGTGCACAAAAGGGCCTCTTGATCTCTCTCATCAGTTCTCCAGCAGCCTGTCATAGGGACTCAATCCTACTATGTTAATTATCTTACAAAACTAATTAAGTTTGGGCTGGGGATGTGGCTCAAGCAGTGATGCGCTCGCCTCAGCACCATATAAAAATAAAGATGTTGTGTCCACCGAAAACTAAAAAATAAATATTAAAAAAACTTCTCTCTCTCTCTCCTCTCTCTTTAAAAAAAACTAGTTAAGTTGCAGTGATTAAGCCATTCATTGAATATACATTGAATACTTTTCTATTTATTTTAGAGTGAGTTGCTTTTTAACCAATGTATCAGGATATTAATAAGGATCATGTTTTGAAGCAGCATGTCCAGATCACTTTGTATATAAAATTTCGTTAGGTTAAATAAATCTGCTTGGAGGAAAGCTTAAAAAAATCATTAAGTAATTGCTAAGTAAGACCATTGTCTTTGTGTGACATTATTGAACCATGATGCTAGATATTTTTGTATATTTGGCAATTTTTTTGTATTTGCATCTCAGATGCACAAAATTGGGTTAATCATAATCCTTGGTTCATGATATACTCATCTGTTTCCAAGCATAGTGTTTTTATTTAGTTAATTGATTAGTTATTTTAAATACTGACTATAATTAGTCATAATTTAATAACTAGTTATTTTAAAAACTATGCACCTATTAACCCATGATTCAAACAAGAACTAGAACAACAATTCCACTCTTCATATGCACTTAAGAGAAATTCTTCCTTATATACAAGGGAAGACCTATATGATTGTTCATTGAAGGAGTTTGCAAGAGCAAAACTTAAAAATTCAAATGTCTATTAATGGGAGAGAGAATGAATAAACTGTGATAAAATGGACTAATGTATGAACTAACTGTTCATATAATGGACTAATATGCATCAGTCAAAATCAATGAACTATAGTGACATTTAACATGAATGAATTTTATCAGTATTAAAAAATACTGATAAAAAGTGAGACCCCCATAGAATATTTCTCAATCCTTTTTATAATGTTGCAACATAAAAAAATCTAAATAACACTTTTTAGGAATATAGATAGATGCAAAGAGACTAGATAATAAGGGAAGCAATGGAATAACACACAAGGGATTTAGGATTATGATGATGGATGAAGGAGAAGCACAGGGTATGGATACACAGCTAGTGTAGATTCTTGTGGTGTTTACTAACTGCTTTAAAGAAAATACATGTAAACCCAGACTTGGATATAAAAAGAAAATCCTGTTTTTTGGAACTTGTACTATAACTGTAGTTTTAGGATTTCCTGATAGAGCTGATTGTAAGCATGTGTTGAGATCACATTGTATTATTTTGGGATTATACTGTATATAATGTGAATTTCATACATTTGTAGAAACAGAAAGTAGTAAAATCCCATTGACTAATGTTGTTCCTTTCTTAAAAAGCATAAACTCTTTAGTAGGAAAATATGACAAAGTTTGAACAAAGAGAATTTTTATATAAATGAAATCATAATTATCATTAAAAGTTTCTCTCATTTCACTTTTAATACACACACACACACACACAAATTTTCCCAAGTCTGAAAATTTCTAAAAGTCATGTTAGGAGTCATTAGTTTTTCATGAAATTATCCTTGATCCCTTCCTATCCTTCCCTTGTCATATCCAGTGCTCATAGATCAACACTGATTATATCATCTTATTACTGTAATCTGCACCTCCTTGTTTTCACAGCCACTGCTTTAGGTGTGGGCTTACAAACTAACAACCCAAGGGCTGAGGGCCACCTGCAGCCTACAATTTTTTAAAAATATTTTTTTAGTTGTTGATAGACCTTTATTTTATTCATTTATATGTGGTGCTGAGAATTGAACCCAGTGCCTCACACACGTCAGGCAAGCAGTCTACTACTGAGCCACAATCCCAGCCCCAGAAAATTTTTTTATGTTTTTTTTTTAGTTGTAGATGGACACAATACCTTTATTTTATTTATTTTTATGTGGTGCTTCACATGTGCTAAGCAAGTGCTCTACCACTCAGCCACAGCCCTGGCCCTACAGACAAATTTTGTATCATCTGTGCAATGTTGAAATTTTTAAAAAATTTGTTGCTACCCCCCCCCCCCCAAAAAAAAAGTGACAACATTTAAAGACTTGGATATTGTACCTAAGATTTCGGTTGCTTTTTTTGTATTTTTGCAGAGCCTTATACATGCTGTGTAAGCACACTGTCACTGAGCTACACCGCAGCTTAGGTTCCAACTTCTTTTGACAAATAAGAATATGCGGCAACCCTAGGCTCATATGCCAATTTGACAATATTCAATTACAGCAAAGGTGAGACTTCCCTTCTCCTTGAGGTCTGAGCTTTCCAGTTTAGAATTCCCGCCATATCCTGTTGTTTTTTGGAACTGGTTCACTTTACTCTTTGGCATTACCGGCTTGGTTCTTGTAAGGATTCCAAGTCTTCGCCGACTTGTCTTCTACTCTTATCTCTTTCGTAGTACATACCCCGTCCTGTCTCCACATTTTTAAAGTTAGTTTTCTAAGATTTGATCAAATCACGTGATTTGTATATCCTTGATATACTAATTATTTCAGTATTAAAATACAAGTTCCTTAAAATGGCTTTTCATGATCTGGGCTACCTGCTCCCGAATGCCACATCATTGTTTCCCACCCTTTCCCAACTTTGATTACTACTCAGAACCAGCAGTTCCCAAACCAGCATATTTCCTTTTGTCTGCCAGTTCTGTCCTCTCCATCTTCGCTTTCCCGTTTCTCCTGGTTAACTCTTGCTCATCCTCAAAAACTGCGCTGACAACAGTCTTCCAGGGAACCATTCCCCGAAACCTTTCCCTCTTCTTTAATTTTGTGATCCCAAAGCGACTTTTGTCCTTAACACTACCGGTGTTAAACCGGGGCGGGGGGGGGGGGAGGGGTCTGAAGTAGAGTTAATCGAACTTGGATTAGACCGGCGTTATTTACTAGTTTTCACCTCTGAGTCCAGTTCCCACGGTAAGAGGACATAAATGCGTAAGCGTCCGCATCTTGACGACTTCCTGAAACCAGGCCTCTATCGGTGATCTAGGTCCCAGTTCCTACCAGATCGCAAACCCCGCACACCCGGCACTGAGGTCTGCAGTTCGTCGCTAGCCCAGCCTCGGATTGGGTAGAGCGGTGCATGCTGGAAGCGACTGGATCGTCGAAGGGCTTATTGGGAATTGTAGTTCTTGGAGCCGGAAGTGGGGGTGGCAAGGATATTAACCGCAGCTGAGACAGCAGTCACTGAGGCTGCCGCCGCCCCAGGGTTGTGCATCACTCTCAGCCCACCAGTCTTGGGTGTTTCCTCTGGCCTTTCGGGGCTCCGGGCGCCCTGACGAGCACAGCGGCCGGGCCGCCTCTCCTCAGCTAGGTGGCGGCTCCGCAGCCCCGGATGCGGCCGTAGGGCACGGGAATGGATCTTGGCGGCTGTGAGAAGCTCCTGCCCGAGGAGAGCAGGTGGGCTAGGAGGGAGCTGGGGAGTCGGGGACTGTAGGTGGGTTTGAGCACAGGGAGGTTTGGGAGGTCTCGACAGCACCGTGAGAGGTGTCAGGCGCACAAACCTGCGGGTGCCTGCCCCGGGGTACACGTCGAAAAATTTCTGAGAGGAGGGACTGGAAGGGTGTGAAGAGGACGGGGAAGGTGGGTCAGATTCGTTGAGGGCTGGGGAGCAGAAAAGGTTGACCCCCAGATTCAAGACTGCTAGAGAGGAGGTGTATTGAGAGTCGGGGAGATAAGGTCTGAGGTGCTGTAGTGAAATTTTATAGGCCCGAGTCTATAGATAGGAGCAGGAGACCAGACTGGTACCTGGGCTGAAACTTGCGGTGACAGCAGGCTGGACCAATATAAGAGGGTGAGGTAAGATGAGTTTGGGGAAGAAGGCGAGGAAGGCCCGTGGATGAAAAGTGAGTGTGTGTAATGGCAGTGGCGTGGGGATGGTGACTTGCTGATGAGACTAAAAATTGTGTGCATGCCTTTTGTCAGTGCTTGATCACTTGTCAGAGCCAAAGGGCCTTTCTGTCATTTCCTTTTCTTCAAACCTTTCACTTCTTCCGCACGATGCAAACTAAGCAAGTGCACATTTATATGGAACTATTTATTGTCAGAGAGTCCGTGTCTTCTGGAAATTAGGGAATTTCAGTATGTTGGGTTTTTCCTGAGGTGCTGGGAATTGAAGCCTGGATCTCATACATGCTACCACTAAACTATACCGCAAGTCCTGGGATTTAATATTTTAAAAATTACTTTGCCCAAATGATCAACTGGACTCTGTAGAGGTGTTTCTCTATTTGGGTTTGCTTCATTATAACTGGTCTTACTTATGGTGGGGTGTAGTTCACAGGGGTACTTACCTAGTATGAGGAAAGTCCCAGGTTCCATCACCATCACTGCAGTAACAATAACAACAACAAAACTGGTCTTAACCTCTTAAAGAGGCTGAAATGGTGACAGGACTACAGCAGGAATGTGGCTTAAGGGAGTCTTGCTTGACATTTAGAAGCAATTTCAGACAAGTAATGGTCTAGGAGTAGCTGAAGTCCAAAGTTTAGAAGCAGATTTACCTCTGAGAAAATATCCTCAGGGGAGAACTGAAATGTGCCTGAGTGAAGATTTTGCTGTTTTAAGGGTGACTCCACTTTTTGTGCACAGGTACCCTGTGGCTGGCTGAACAAAGTCTGGACTGACAGAACTTTGGGGGTTTTGCCGGAGATCTATGAATGATGTGCACTAAGTAAAACTGAACACTTTACTTCCCTTTTCTATTTTTCAGTTTCTACTTATTTATGTTTGGCTATTTATTCTTCCTCCAGATGTCTGTGAAACCTAAACAAGTTTTAGAGTTATTTTGATTTTCCTTTACTAGTTCATGTGGGGCAGACTGAGTCAAAATTTAAATTCAGTTTCTTTCCCCTTTTAGCTGGAGGTGCATTAGTTGTTAATTTATCAAACAATTATTTACTATATGCTAGGCACTGTTTTAAAAGCTTTACATATATTAATTTTTTTATCCTCTTAACAACTGTATGAGGTAGGTACTTTAGTTACTATCATTTCACAGATGAGGAAGCTGAAACATGGACAGGATAAGTAGTCATACAGTGAATCTCTCTTGGGC